AATAACAATAATAATATAGTGAAAGGGAAAATGGTTTTAAACTTCCCCCCGAGCGCTCGCTGGGCCCACGCACGAGCAACCGCGCCCCGTCCGACCTCCGTGTCCCCCCGTCCCGCCCCGCCGCACGCGGCGCACGCGGCGCCTCTGCCACTCTCCGCGCGGTGCCAAGTCCCCCGTCCGGCCGAGCAGCAGCCACCCACCCGGCGCCGGAGGGGGCCTCCGCCAACCCTGAACTTGAACGGCTCCCCCGGCCCACGACTCACGCGCGCCCCGCGGTGGGGTCGATACTTCGATTGCGAGCGCACCGGTCCACGGAATGAATTGGCTTCCGCGAAGGACTGCCGTCGTACCCTCGTTAGTTTTCGGGAAATGGCGTTGCATGATTGGATGACAAAAGGAGATTTAAGAAACCTGCAGCACGAGGGTGTTTCAACATGCTGCTTAACGAACGTTTAAAGAAACCATTCCACTAGAATCAAAACCTATTTCTTTCTGATTTGGTTGAATTTCTATTCACATTTTGGAGAAATTCTACCATGGATTTATGAATGGATTTCTATTTACAATTTTGTTTCTTGATGATGCCGCTGAACCAACAGTTCAAGTGTAAGGAAAACGTGATTTCCCTTCACGTAATTCTAATACTTTTCCCGGGGGTCTGTAGGTTTAACCACATCAAACGTGGTAGCGCGACGTTAAGGAAAACACTGAGGAATGCCATGTGACACACACGCGGCCGTATGACCTATCTGAAGTGCGATGAAACGAACTGAGTCGCGACAAGCGCCTTGCGGTGCGGCGAGCACACCCTGGACCGGTGTTGCTCGTAAGCCGGCAAAACTAACGTGGGATGACCTACATTCCGTTCCAGGTAGAGGCCGCATAGAAGTTTCAGGAGGGGCCGCGTCGCGTAGGGAGCTGGCGGTTCCGAGAACGGGGCGCAGCGCTGCTCCAGCGACGGCGGTGGCGGTGGTGGTGGTGGAGGCGGCAGGACGGGGTGGTAGATGGGGCAGTGGAGGCGATGAGGCGGTGACGAAGGAGGAAGCAAGTGAGGTGGAGAGGTGGTGAGGAGAGAGGTTGGCGGTGGATGTAGGGGAGTGAGGGTGATGGTGGCGGAGCAGTGAGCGAGGAAGTGGTGGCGGGGTGGCAGGTGAGGCAGGGCATTAGCGGCGAGGATGGTTGCGGGGGCGAAGCGACGTGGTGGCGGTGAAGAGACGGTGACCAGGGG